GACCCACAGCTCCCTGCACCTACCCCTGCGCTCGGGCCTGGGCCTCTCGCTGGCGGCTGGGCAGGACAGGGCGTTATCGTGGGCCACGGGGACTGGCTCAGGGGCAGAGATTAAAGCAGCTAAATTCGGCTGGGTTGGCTGCCTGACAAGCCCCGGACAGGATGGGAGCTCTTGATAAGGGACCTGTGTGGTGTGACTAGCAGGGGAGGGCTGGGATCCAGGGCGCCTGGGTTCTCTCCCGGCTCTGGGAGCGAAGGGGGTTTAGTGGTTAAAGTAGGGCCCCTACTCACCTTCTGTCTGTGCCCCCTCTCTGAGGAGAGCTGCCAGACACCCCCTGTAGCCCTGGCTGGGATTGGTGGGTCTCTGCGCTCCCCAGCAGCCTGTCTAAATATACCCAGGCCCCACGGTGCTGGAGTATAAATACCCCTGACTCAGCTGGCCTGGCATGCAGCACCCACGGCTCGGCTCACATCTCAGCTGAGCCCAGGCCGCTACCAGCCCCAGGGGGCACCCGGCCTGGGCTGAGACCCCGGCCCTAGAGTCCTGCCACATGTGACTGTCCCGAGGCAGGCCTGGGGCAGGGGTTCGGGGGCTGGTGGGACACCAGGGCGGCTGGATCTCACCTCCAACTCCCCCACCAGCTGTACGGCAGCTCTGTGCCAGGCTGGGACATGGGCCCTCCCACAGCTCAGGAGGGAAGGAGGGTCCCCCGACCCAGCATTGGGACCCCTGACCCTGGTGCCACATACCTGCCCCTTCTCATCCCTACCCCATTACTGCACCCACAACCCCCTTCACCCCATCCCTCTCCCTGAATCCTTCCCCCGCCACTGCCCCCTTGTCCACACAGATGTCACCAGGTGTTGGTTGCTACCTGGAAAGAAGCCCCAAGGGAGGCACTGGGGGAGTGGGGCCATGTCAGTGGGACAGGCCAGGCCATGGGGTCTCCCCACCAGTCTCTTGGCCCAAGGACATGGGGCCATTTGTCCCACCACTGGCCTGTGGAACTCACTGCCACTGGGCACCACAGGCCCGGTGGGGAGGGAGCTGGTGTCATGGCTGGACTTGGCCATGGGGAGACCCCAAGATCCAGGAGGGGGAGCTGCCTCCCACTGCAGGGGGGGATGGACCCTCCCACAGGCACAACTGCCTCTGGACCAGGCCTGTCAGATGAGCCCCTGCGGCAGAGTCGGGGGCCACCTGAGCACCCCAAACATTCCCCTGAGGTGCTGGTACATCCCTAACCTCTCCCCCTGCAAAATATCCCCTCCCCTCCCTCAGGCATCGCACCAACCCTCCCCTGGGTTAGACGTCCCCCCATTAGAACCCCCTGTGGTTAAACCCCCCCTCTCTGGGGGGCAGTGCCCCCCTGTTAGACCTCCCCAGGGTTAGACCTCCCTCCCTGGGGGGAAGAGCCTCCCCATTAGACCTCCCTGTGATTAGACCCCTGTCCCTGGGGGGCAGAGCCCCCCAGTTAGACCCCTCCATGATTAGTCTTCCCTCCTTAGGGTCAGAGCCCACCTTTTAAGCCCCCTCCCTCTGAGGTTAAAACCCCTCCCTGGGGAGCAGAGACCCCCTGTTAGACCCCCCCCCATGGTTAGGTTCCCCTCTCTTGGGGACAGAGCCCCCCATTAGACCCCCCCATGGTTAGAGGCTCCACCCTGGGGACAGAGCCCCCTGCTAGACACACCTCCTGGTTAAACCCGCTCCCCGGGGTTAGACCCCCCTGTTCGACCCGAAGTTAGACCCACCTCCCTGGGG